TAAGTGAGGTGATGGTTATGTTAACCAGTTTGATGTAAGCATTCCACACTATATATCAAATCACCACATTGTACCCCATAAATGCATTAATGTTACACAGTAATGATTTAATAAAAAAAAAGAGAGAGAGAGCCACAACTGAGAGCTTTAGTTTTTTCCCTTTTTTAAAAAATTAATAGCATTAGAAAGCTATGATTCACATCAAAAAGACTGTAGCATTAGAAGATATAATTCACATAGAACATCAAAAAGACTCAGAAATGAAAGAACTAAGAAACTAAGATTTTCAGAAAGCAGGAGTGAGGCATAGGATGAAAATAGGGCATAGAACTATTTTCTCCCTCTGGTACAAGATGATTTGTTTTCTGAAGATTGAACCAGGCACAGCAAGCGGTCAGGATAAGTCAAAATACTCCAAATAGAGAATAAATGCAAGTTTCCATATGAATCCTGAAAAATCCATTTCCTAGTCTCTACCTGGATCCCAGAATGCTGGCAGTCAGATTTATACTTCCCAGCAGGAGACTGGCAGATTTTCTGAAAGTCTGAAAAAGAGACCTAAAAACACTTAAATTTGGGAGCCCCCAACTAAGTGCCTAGATCCCGCATATATGAAGGTCATTACAAAAATTTGGAGACTGTGTTCCCGTCCATTATTTCACTTCCGAGAAATACAGTCAGCAACGGCATCCTTTGGGATTCACCACCGGTGTAAGTTTCTCTCTGTCGCTGGGAGGCTTCATTTGTTTCTGTCCATGTGACACTCAATCGGTGTCAGCTATGGAGCTGGGAAGAGAACACTTTTGTGCAATGGTTTTCTGTGATTTTACAAGCAAATTAAAGGAGTCTCAAAGCCTTGAGCATTTGGGGGACCTTCCCAGTGGACAATTTTTCAGTGGTTTCAAGAATTGAGAAGAGGCAGAACTCTGAAAGATGAGAGGAGTGAGTGTCTCACAGTTGCTGTGACTGAGGAAAGGGTCGTTGCTGTGGACAAAATGGTTCCTGAAAACAACTGAGTGACATTTAAGGGCACTGAAGCGGCACTACAGAATGGCTTGCCAGCAGTGTCCAAAATCTTGCTCTATGATAACCTTTGAGTCAGGAAAGTTTCATCCAAATGGGTGCCTCACACTTTGACAGATGAGCAAAAGCACATCCTGAACGGTGTGAAGAAATGCTGGTCATATTTGAGGGACATGTTTCTGACCCCATTACTGGTGATGAAACCTAGATTTACCAGTTTGATCCAGAGAATAAGTGTCAGTCAATAGTGTGAATCCTCCCCCAATGGAAATCCACTAACAAAAGTGAAGCAGCCCTGAATTGTTGGAAAGAAAATGGTGGCAATGTTTTTCTTCAAAAGTGGTCATGTTGCAACTGTTCCTATTGTAACATGGAAAAAAGGACTGTTACTGCTCAGTGGTGCAGAACAGTATGCCTACTAAAAATTTTTGGGAAGCTTCAAGAACAGCAGCCAAGAACATGACGGGGGGACCACCTTTGTACCACACAGCTAGTATCACCATTCAGTTCCTGGAGTCCACAGAGGTTAAACTTATGACTCTTTCATGGTACAGTCCTACCTGGCCCACGTGATGATTTCCTGTTCCCTCCAGAAGAAAATCACATATGTGGAAGAAGATTCTTCAACCCTGAAGAAGCTGTTTACACTTAAGAAAGCGAGCTCATAACACTTGAAGAAAATGAACGGAAACGGTTTTCAAAACTGGTTTACCAGAATGCAAAAGTGAATGGAATTTTGTGGTATTTTGAATATTATTTCAAAATGAATGTTATTTTGAAAAAATACAATAATCAAAATGATTTTATGTTTAATTTTTGTGTATTGCAAAACTTTCATAGTGTCCCTCCTATGTTCTCATCACATATCAGGTTTTTAATACCTGACTCTTAAATATGATGGACATTCCAGGAATGCTACCAACATTAAAGATAAAAGGAAAAAACAAACTCAGAGCAATTAAAGATAGAACAAGAAGTTGAAAAAACATAAGCCCTAATATCTTCAATGGGGTAAAAGATGATGATGCTCTATCCATAAAATAAGAACTGTAGGTTATTAAAAAAAAATCCATGGCCAGGCGTGGTGGCTCAATCCTATCGTCCTAGCAATCAGGAAGGCCAAGGTGGTTAGATTGCCTGAGCTCACAGGTTCAAGACCAGCCTGAGCAAGAGTGAGATCCTGCCTCTAAAAAAATAGCCAGGTATTGTGGTGAGCACCTGTAGTCCCAGCTACTTGGGAGGCTGAGGCAAGAGAATTACTTCAGCCTGGGAGTTTGAGGTTGCTGTGAGCTATGATGCCACGGTACCCTACCAGGGCAAAAAAAAAAATCCATGGCAGAACTCTTGGAAATTAAAAGGGTCAGAGGGGTGGTGCCTGTGGCTCAGTGAGTAGAGTGCCGGCCCCATATACTGAGGGTTGCGGGTTCAAACCTGGCCCCGGCTGCACTGCAACAAAAATATAGTGGGGCGTCGTGGAGGGAGCCTGTAGTCCCAGCTACTCGGGAGGCTTAGGCAAGAGAATCACCTAAGCCCAGGAGTTGGAGGTTGCTGTGAGCCGTGTGATGCTACGGCACTCTACCGAGGGCGATAAAGTAAGACTCTGTCTCTAAAAAGAAAATAATAATAATAAAATTAAAAAAAAAGGGTCAGAGGATAAGTTGAGGAAACATCCCAGAAAGTAAGTAAAAAGACAGTTGAAAATAGGAGAAAATATTATTTTAATTGGCACATAATCCAGGAAGCCCAACATCCAAGTAATGGGAATTCCAGAAAGATATCACAGAGAAAACAGAAGAGAAGAGATTATCAAAAGTATAATATAAAAAGTTTCCCCAACTGGGCACAGTGGCTCACGCCTATAATCCTTGCACTTTTAAGAGAGTGGGGCAGGTGGGTTGCCTGAACTCAGGAGTTTGAGACCAGCCTGAACAAGAGTAAGACCCCATCTCTACTAAAAAAAAATAAAAGGAAAATTAGCAGGAGTTGTGGTAGGTGTCTGTAGTCCCAGCTACTCCAGAGGATGAGACAAAAGGATCACTTGAGCCCAGGAGTCTGAGGTTGCTATGAGGAGCTATGATGCTATAGCATGTTAGCCTGAACAACAGAGAGAGACTCTGTCTCAGGAAAAATAAGTTTTCCCAATACTGATCATATGAAACTCTGGATTGAAATAGGCCATCAAGGGCCCAGAAAATGAGGACCTAAACCATATCATTGTGAAGGCATCAGTATAAAGAAGAGATGCAAAAAGAAGATTCCAAAAGCTTCCAGATAGAAAAGACTATAACTTACAGGTATTGAGAATCAGAATGGCATTGGACTTATCAACTTTTTTCATTAGCAGTTAAAAGACCTGAAGCAATCATCAAACTTATGAAGAAAATAATTTCTAATCAATAATTCTCTCCTAAGCCAAACTCTCAATCAAATGCTAGAATAAGGGTATTCTCAAGTAGAAAAATTATTTCCCATCATGTCTGTCTTAGGAAGCTACTGGAGAATATGCTCCACAAAAATAAGGGCATAAACTATGAAAAAGGAAGACTTAGAATTCTAAAACTGAGATTTAACATAGACATTCCCAGGGAATACCGATAGGAAGTCCCAGGACAACCAGTCCAGTTTGGAGCAGGAAGATAGATATTCCATGCAAAACGTCTCTAGAAAAGAATGGATTGAAAAATGTCCTGATGGCTCGGTGCCTGTGGCTCAAGCAGCTAAGGCGCCAGCCACATACACCTAAGGTGGCGGGTTCGAATCCCCAGCCTGGGCCCACCAAACAACAATGATGGCTGCAACCAAAAA